AAAGAACAATGAGGAAGCCAGTGTGGCTGCAGCAGGGTGAGGGAGGGGAAGTATGGCTGGAGAAAAGATCAAAGAGGTAGAGAGAGGACAAATTCCAATAAAGCTTGGTAGGCCATTGTAGGGACTTTGTATTTGCTCTGCACCCCAACTCTTTAAGACAGGAAAAATACTGTTATTCCACTTTTATTGATGAGTAAACAGAGAAGGACGTATAACTAATATTTATGGCAAAGCCAGAACTAAAACTCAAGTCTCCTAATTCTTATACCCACGTGCTATCTATTGTAGGACACTGCCTTTTACCTCAGCACTATCAGAAATACTAAGAATCACTATTGAAATACTTTGTTTTTACATTAGAGTGTGCAAAAAATAGTTCGGGAAGCAGGAAGGGACTGATGCTTCTTGAAACACCAAAGTTTCTTGATATGTTCAGAATTTGACTAAGAATTGGACTCAGCTAATATAACATCAATAGCAAACTAAATAGATTTACAGTTCTCTGTGTACTTATCCATTCATCTATCTGTTTTATAGATAGATAAATACGAATTCCTTTTTGAGTCTTAGTAATAGAAGAGAATGTGTTTCTGCAGCAACTCATTGGAGGTTGGGACACCCCAACATGGAGTATATGCAAGTTTCTATTCCTCAAAAATCTCCCACTATTGACAAATTTAATGACTTTTTATCTGACATTGTAACAAATAAATAATGCAATGATTTTTATAGAAAGGCAATTGCCAAAGTCAGCTACTTGGGGAAATAATCTAAACTAGTTTTACATGTATCAAAAGAATCTATTCTTAAATCTAGTGGTGGATCACCCATGAGGTTCAATTTGGTCTTCTCTTTCTGGTTTTGTGTGACAGATGTGGCAGTCTTGGGAGAAGGCTAATTCTTAAAATTGGACTACTGAGTATAAACCTGTGATGTTGAAGGAAATACAGCGTGTTTTACATTTTAGCAGCAATCATTCTTTGGAACTGTGTAACCTAGAGTACCTGTGTTACTCTGGAAAGATATAGAAAGGAA